TGGGGCGGCTCCGGAGGAAAAGCCCAGGGGAAAAGAAACCCCCTGGTCCTCCACGTGGGGGCCAGCTCCAGACATCTCTGCAGGGTCTGTACGGGGACCGCAGCGAAGCTGGGATCCGCTTCACGGGCTTGCCACGGCAAGACGGCACAGAAAGGTGCAGCAGGAGAGCACAGAGCAATGCTGGCCACAAGCCGTTTGCTGAGACTGGCCACGTCCTGACCCCTTTCCATGTTGTGCCCTGGCAGCTCAGCTCCGGGGCACCCTCAGTCTGTGGGAGAGCCTCCCTGCTGCCCCCCTGCTCTGCTGCCCGCTCAGCAGTCAGGCCACACTGCTGCTGTGGACTGCAGAAAGCTCACAGCGTTGCACTTACTGCGCTAGCCGCCCAGCCGGACTCAAAGTGCCGACCACAGAGCTCTCTTGCACCTTTCCTGCCCCACCTCGTCTGTGTCCCTGCCCCCCCATTGGCCTTGTGCAAACAGCTGCTGGCCTCCCTTACTTCCTGTTCTTGGCATCCTACTGCCAAGCTTAAGGTGCCAACCACCTTCTCCCATCACAGCCCAACAGCATCTTCTCCAGCCCTGCACTTCCCACTCCCCCAGTAGCATTCAGTGCTGACAGGTCTCCTCCCCAATTCCCAGGACTCCTGGAACTCCTGACTTTTACCCCCACCAGGCTGTCCCCTTCCTGAGGGACTCCCCACCTCCACGCTGAGCCCTTTCCCTCTTCATTCTGCCTTGGCAGCTTTATGCAGGCCTTGGGCCCCAGCTCCCTGCTGCATGGAGCTAATGCCAAACTCTGCCCCTCGGCTCAGCACAAGACCAGTGAGGCTGTTCGGGGTATGCACATGAGAGAGGTACAGAGAGCAGGGACAGGGACGGGAAGACCTTATTCACCGTCCCACAACAGATGAGAACAGGGACAGCGTCTGCACTTACACTGAGCTCCAAAGACATTTACATTTAACCAGATGGAAGGAAGCATTTCAGACAGCCACTGTTCTGTGGAACTCAGTGCTACAGCGCACTGAGCTCTGTAGGCTCAAGAGCAGGCTGGAGGTTCCTTGGGACAAAGAGGCCATGCACAGGGGCATTACAGCCTATTTTATAGAACAGCTAAAAAGCCTCTTGCCTCAGGTCAAGATATGAGCTACTTACTGGATGGGGAGGCACCAGCAGCATTCACACTGTGGGGCCGTTGGCACCTGCTATGGGCTACAGTTACAAACAAGACCAGCCTGAAAAGATGGCAGCTCCTTCTGTTTATTTCAGACCATTTCTCCAGTTTATTTTGAACTCTAAAATCTTGTCCTCAAAAGCACTTGCAACTGCTCCCAGCTTGGTATTGTCCACACACTTGATAGGTGTAGTCTCCATTCCAAAGTCACATATGAAGATATTGAATGGAATTGGAGCTAGGCCAGATCCTTGTGGAACACCATTTGCCCTTGACTGTGAACTATTCTGCGAATATGGTTTTCCAACATGCCTTATAGTAGGTTCATCTAGGCTGCATTTCCCTAGTTTGCTTATGAGGTCCTGTAGGACTATATGATATTTATGCTTGGCATGAGAGCAGGGGCCTGAACCAGATGGCCTCTCAGTCTTACAATAGGATAGGATTCTATGAAGACAATATCGGAAGTCTCCAGGCATTGCTCCACAGATCACCCATTTCTATGCCCTGTATGTGGTTATCAATTTAACAAGAAGTTGTTTATAGAAAGAAGCCCTGGGGTCCACTGGAGCAAAGAACATTCCTTTAAACATTACAAAGTTGCAGTTACTGTTATCAGCTCATCTGGAAATATACACTTCTATAATCCTGTTTCAAACTATTTTTATACTTGGGGACCACAAAGCTAGAGGGGAAGTTGTTACAAACTATTGTGTCAAATACAGAAATTTGCTTTTTGTTTTAGAATTGGTTGAAGCACCTTTAGAACTGGGAAACACAGAAGCAGCTACGTTTAAATTCAACGTAAGTATGGACCCTACTTATTCCTAACCTGTTTCTGATTAAGTATTGATTGGGTCTTTCAAAATGAGGTGAGAGGTGTTATATAGTAATACACCTAGATTGGTAGGCAGGTAACAACTTGGAATATCTTTATGCTATAGTCGTTAAAGTTATGATTTTACAAGAGACACACTAATGTTGGTGATTTTAATTTAAAATTCTAACCCCGCCCCCGCGCAAATGGCCCATGTTTTGGCCTAATCATGCATCACATTTCATTATTGAAGAAAAAGCCATTGAGAGTTGCCAAAGGGCAGATAAGTGTCTTCAATTTATAATTATTTTAATTTAGATGTTATATTGTACCTTTAAAATGAATGATGACTTTGAAAATTGATAATAAACAAAAGTGCTCGCAGGCAGAGTTCTTTGAAAAAAAACTATTCAATCCTATAGCACATTTGAATGGTTCAATTATAAACCCCATGATGCTTCATGCATAGTGCAGAAACATGCCATCAAGTAAACAAACAACAATCAGGGCATTTTTAAAAACAGTCTCAGGGGCTCCATTCAAAAGGTCCTTAACTAATTTTGTTTAAAAAATGGGGCTGAGACAAAGACCGGGAAGTTTTCTATAAGGAACATTTTTTGAGAAAGTGATGAAAGACTGAAAAGTACTTGATAATATAATGGTGCTTTCAACTTCAACATTTGCATTGGCGCTGGGACACTAAATATATATATGTGTAGATGTGTGCACACCATATCCATGGAAATCTTGACCGCTCTGAGCTGTAACGTACTGGAGCACCTTGCTAAGTACAAGCAATTACTGAAAGCTGCAGTGAGAACCTTGCACTCAGGTCTCCCTATTTCTCTTTGACTAAGCTAAAAACAGGAGGAAAAAAATCGAACAAATCATGTGTCCTGTGAGTTTAATTTTTATCAATAACTTTATTAATATACAACTTACTTGTAATGAGTTTAAGAAGACAATCTGCGACTTGAAGGTGTAGCAATGTCTCCCCCTATGCAATCCAGTGTTGATTCTTATCAGACCTTTGCAGATACTGGAAAGTTTTATTTGAAGAGTTTTATTCAAACTCACAAAATCACTTTACCGACTCCAAGCTTCTTGTTAATTTTCCACAGGTAATTCACAAAAGGGTTTTTTTGTTTTTTTTTGGTTTGTGGAAAAAATCAAATACTTGTGTAAATGTGGCTGGGGGAAGGTTGGGAGTGGAAGCACCTGAGCAGACATTTTGCACTCTCAGTTTTCTCTATTTCCTATTTATGAAAGCTTGGCATCTGGCTAGAGCACAGACTCCATAAATCATGCCATATGTGACTAATCACACAAGTAATAAATTGCAGAGAACTGAAGCAAATAGTGAACTTAGCAGAAACCTGTTCTTATAGGATGTTCCAGCAATTTGGAGTCACACACAAAAGTTTGTGGATGAAGTTAAACATCAGAAGGCTAAAATTAACAAAATTATTCTCTATAAAATTTGCACCTAGATGAAAATTGTCATTATAACCACAGAGACAGTTACAGAAACTGTCTCCCTCATAACCTTTAAAAGCTCCTTAGATCTGCACAGTGGCTCATGCCCGAAACTCTTCTTATATGGCCACCAAATCTAGTAGCAGATAAGTAGGAACAGACTTTTGTTTAAGCCTCAGCACTCTGATCTAATTCTGGCTTAATGCGTTAGGGTCTTTGTACACAAAACATGCACAGTGCCAGTGGCTCACTTGGACAGGATTTCTGATTTTCATATCCAAATTATTGTCAATGTAAGTCAAAGAAAACTTGGAACTTCATGAAAATCTTGGATCCCTGGTATTAAAATATTTTTTCTCCATACTGAGAGTATCTTTTTTTCTTTCTCTTCTTTAAACACAAATCAAACATCTCAGGATGGTTTTATCACTGAAAACTTACTCGACCTCATTTTTAAACCCATTGTATACAAGTTTGTTTGTATCCTCAACACAATCTGCTTATTCTCACAAAAATGCAGCAAAGCTCGGAGTGTAAAATCAAAGAACCCAGGGAGCAAACAGAGGAGAGTCGGTCAAGAACCAGGTTCTGTTAATTGAATGTTCCAGTTCTAAGCCAGCTCTGGCTAGAAACTGGGCTCCTACTGCTACACTAAATTTAAACTTGTTAACTTTTAGTTATCCCAGAGGCCACCATTATAGCGGAGAAACTTTCCACGCCTTTCCAAGGGCTCACCGCTGACCAGAGACAGAAAGCACTTCCCAAACTGTAAGAAGGTTTAAACACACAGGAAGGAAAGCAGAAAAAATGGCAAAGAAGGTTGCTCCCTCCAGATAATTTTCCCTAAAGAGGGAGCAGTAGGCCCTGTCTGCCCAAAAGAAATAGTCATACTTAGTGTGCTTGTAAAAACATGGCCAAATTACAAAAGAGTACGGTTTTGTGGCTAAGACACGTAGGGTGACCAGATTGCAAGTGTGAAAAAACAGGACAAAGGGTGGGGGTGAGAGATGCTCATACAAGACAAAGCCCCGAGTATTGGGACTGTGCCTATAAAATCAGTACATCTGGTCACCCTAAGACACTGGGCTGTGACTCAGCTGGCTTGGGTTCAGTTCTCGGCTCTGTCACAGATCCCTGTGTATAATCGCTTTGCTTCAGCTCCACTTCTGCAAAATGTGGGATAAACTATGCAGGGAAGAGTTCTCCCGTTTTCCAGAAGTGCTTGGATACCCTGTGGATGGGAGCTATGTAAGCAGAGAGCATTCTGACTAGTTTAGAATTAGTTCATACAGATGGACAGGAAAAAATATTGCCATGTTTTCATGGTTTTAGCCCAAGTCATTTATAGAGAAGATAACATGATGGGCAGAGATAGTTCTTGAATTTAGGTGTATAGTGTCCCTAAGATACTCTACATGCTCTGGATTAGAGCCAAATAAAAGGGCCCTATAAGAGGAAATTAAATCTACAGAGTTGGGGCAACAGTTACAGGATTACATTTTCAATGGTCTGGAATAAGAAAAATTCCACAAGCACAACAGACATCCAAAATGGCTCAACATAATTTATTTTTATGTTAAAATGTACAGAGTTCTTTTGAAAGTACTTGCTAGAAAGGGAAAAAAAAGTGATATTACATACAAGGAGAAGAAGGGAGGCCAGCCAGCCAGGAGCGTAACACAGATAGAATTACAAAGGCATCCAAGGCCTCCCTTCCCCTTAGCTTACAAGTCACCATGAACAAAGTACAAAGAGGTTACAAAACAGGAAAAGCAAATATAAACAGACAGGAATAGACTTAGCTTCATTTGTACATGCGGCTTTTAGAGGCATCTGGAGCTCTATTCACACACTCTAGAGATCTCTTTAAAGAGAATTTTTATCTTTCTTAAAATAGTTTTTAATATTCTACAACAAAGATAAAAAATTTTAAAGATGGAATGAAATGAAAAAGCTCTTATTTTAAAAGGCATCAAAGTCACTAACAGTGATTTTTTTTAAATTTCTTTTAGAAGATTACCCAAGTTATCTTGCTAAAAATACATTTTTTTAAACAGAAGTGAAAAAATGGTAGGTACCAATATTACTGCGTTGGATAATTTCTTTTTATAATATAGAAAAGAACTTTTTTTCTACAATAGTTCTACAGTCACAAAGGTTTGTGGAAAAGGGAGCTGCCCAATTGATTAAAAAAACATACAAAAACCAAACCAAACATAACAGCAAACAAACAAACTTCACTGCCCTCATTTCAACAGCTTCTCCTCCTGTCTTTAACCCTTTCTCTCCCTGCCCTCTGCTCCCTCTCCCGCAACCACAAAGCAATGACAGCTGAAGATCTAGGAAGAAGAGGGCAGCACAGTGCGCTTTCTACATGGATGATTTAGAACCTGAATAGTATATACAGAGAAATGGAGTCCTACACAGCCTCACACGTGCTCCAAACAAAGGAATAAGGAGTGGAAGTCCTTGGAATTCTGCCTTTTTATATTTGGCAGTTATTGGAGAAGTTCATTTTAGTGCATCTGAAGAACCCTCAAACCTTCATTTGGATTTTTTGTTTTATTACTGTCAATATCTCTAGAGAATAGACAATAAGAGAGAACTTTACACGAAAGGGTAATTCCTCTCTCTTCTTTTTGCAGCTGATGGCATGCTAACAGGTGCAGTCAGTCGCTCTAGAGCTACACAGTTGCATAGCAGAAAGAGGATGGTGTGCACAAGCACACTACAAAATCCAGCTGACTAGGTCCCACTGTGGTGTGCTGACTGTCCCACTCCCATTCCCTCCCTTGCAAGGAGTTGAAATTCCCTCTGCTTCCCACACACTGACTCAGAGGTGAGGAACTTCCTAGGAAATTGTCTCAAAAGAACCCAGGATAGCAGTAATGTGCCTGTTTTAACACCAGCACTCCCCTGAAAGTAGGGCACACTCACCAGAATGGAATACTGACAAAGACTTGGTAGATTTCTTGTCACTTACGCTTCATCTTCCAAGACTATGTGAGTAAAGGAACTTAGAGGCAGACTACAGGCTCTTGAGCTCAAACTGAAAGGCTCAGAACCAAGACCCTTAGCATTTCAAAGCAGATATTCAAGAAGAGTTTGGGATTTCAAGAGTTATGGCCAATTAGCAAGTGGTCAAAACAAGACCCTGTAGCCATTTTCTGTCTTTCTGATGCACAGAAACTCTCTCTTATACTTCTGGAGGCTGAATTAGGGTTCCATACAGTTCTCCTTTGAGATGCTAATGCTAGTTCAGACCGACAGTGTGTGTGTGTATATGTGTGTGTGCGCGCGCGCACCGGATGGGAATATTTTAAAGTGACATTACACTTCCAGAATAAAACAGACAGACTGTATTTCAATTAATCTATAAAGACAGTGTTAGAAAATTTTATGTTTACCTCTTATTCCCAATTGTATGGTGGGGCAGGAGGATCAGAAAGTTAAGAGAATTTTTCCTGCCTCATTGGAATAAAGTGTTTGTCCTCCATGACCCCTTCTAAGTCTCCCATAAGTGCCTCTTGCTGGACTTAAGTAGGAAATGCAAGGGGGGGACTAGAGGGATGGGTTTTGTTACCTTTTGAGATGTCGGACATTGTAATGACTGCAGCCCTGAGAGCTGCACACAAAGGGGCATGGGGAAGAAGAGGAAGGGGTGGGGAACATACACTTGAAAATAAAATTTAAAAAGATGATTCACTGTTAAACATATTCTGTGTGGTCAGCAAAGTAAGGCTCTTTTAAATTATGAAAAATCTTGTGCACGTTTTCCCCCTAAAACCGTTTTAAAATTATTTCAGCTGTAAAATGGTTCAGGATTCTGAAGGAAACAAAAACCCAAAATGAACAAACGAAAAAAGAATAAAGACCAGGCTTCCTAGAAAATAAAATAAACCAAAGAAAAACCCTCTAAATCTACAGCAACATTTTTAACTGGAAAAAGGTCCGTTTTCTCTGGTTCGTCAGTATAAAAGGTTCCTTTATTTATATATATTTAAGTTTTTAGGTTGCAAGTTCATCTCGCTCATCTTCTCATGTACGGTCCATTGAGCGACTGCTTGGGCACCCCAGCAGCATTCATGTAGCTGTGATGGGAGGGGCCAGTATACATCATGTTTCCATGAGGGTTTGGCTGCATAGGCTGCTGGGTATAGGCCTGGCTCCCCATCATTCCCATCTGCATCTGCATAGGATACTGTGCTGTCTGGTTCATGTAGGCAGGGTTACTATGGTAACTGCTGTTCATCATGGGCTGTGTCATTCTGTAGCTGTTCATGGCATTCAGGGTGTTCATATTCATGGAATTGACATTGTAGGGGGGAGTTGGCATCAAGTTAACCCCCATGTTCATACCTCGCTGAACAGCTAGCGCACGAGGGCCAGCCTGCATGGCAACTGCTGGTGGGCTGCGCCCATAGAGCTGCTGCTGGTGTGCTGTTGCAGAGGGCAGTGGTGCGGATTTGGAACGAATGGAAATATGCCCCTTAACTGGCATTTGCCCCTGCAACCGTTGCGTATGTGGGATCCCAATGTTGGTGGCAGACATGTTACACTGAAGAAGAGGGGATGTGAGGTTCATGGTGGTGGAGGCCAAGTTTGGTGGGGGTGTCATGGTGGCTTGTGCTTGCGGCGTCCCAGCTAATGGATGAGATGGAGCTAGCTGAGCCAACCCTGTGTTGGACAGAGAAACACTGGTTGCATAGGAAGTCACAGCAGGAGAATGGCTATAAGGCATGGCATGAGGGTCCATAATGGTGTTTGTCAGCTGCTGCAACTTGGCTAAACTGAATGTGGCTGATGGCTGAGAGTAGCTCCCAGCACCAAAATCTCCTGGGATCCTCTCATAGATACTTATGTTGCCAGTGCTGCCAGATTCAGGTATCTCCATGATCATCGGTGCGGGGGTGAAACTATTATTCATGCTACACTGAGACAGTGGAGGTTGCTGCTGGGGTGGGGGTGGGGGCTGAGGCTGCTGCGGCTGAGGCTGCTGCTGCTGCTGCGGCTGGGGGGCTGGTTGCTGGTTGCTTGGAGGCCTTTCTACCACGCAGCTCTGAGGTGACTTGATGCTGCAGTTTGCAGCAGGCTGGACAGTGCTCTGTTGCATCATGCTGCAGCTGCTGCCGATGTTTGCCATTTGCTGAGTGACAACACAACTGTTCTGAGTGAGGCTACTAGAGGAGGACAACCCCCCATAGGAGCAGCTGCTCTGGGAAGAGTTATTTCCACAAATGCTGCCTCCCATGGTGGAGTCATAACTGCTGGGGTTTTCGTAGTTCTCTGTGGTGCTCTCAATGCTGCCCAAGTCACTGAAGCCACTGTCCACCACCTGCTGAGAGTGGTCTGATACAGAAGGCACATCCATCATGGGGCTGGTCTCCATGTTCTGCATAGAGGGTGCGGACAGGGATCCTTGTTCGGGGCTTATCTGGGTGTAACCACTCTCCAAAGCAGGCACATTGGGACTGCTGACCGAACGTACAGATTGGCTAGGATGGGACTGAACAGAGGATATTGGACTGTTGTGTTCTGAGGCATGGCAATCTTCAACCATTGATATCTGAGGGTCCTCATCTGTTTGAGTGTAACTCTGCAAATTCTGACAAGCTGCAAGAGTTTCCTCACAGTCCTGGTACGCTACATCATGCTCATGACTCTCCTCTTGCGTCAAGGACTGGACTGCTTGGACAGTTTCCAGATCTAGTTCACTATGAGGAATCTCTTCCTCTTCCTTTAATTCAATTAACCTTTCTTTAGAATTTTGCTCTTCTTCATGATCATCTTCAGAGCCAGGGACATGCTCTGAGGCCACTGATGTCTCATGGGAAGCCTGCTCTTCCTCAGAATCTGCCTCTGCCTCATTTTTGCCCTTCACCTCTTCTCTACTGCTTTGTATGCTTGGTTCTAAAAAAGACTCCTGGACATCAGGCTCCTCCTTCACTTCTTCCCTAATTGGCAGTTCCTCCAATTCTTTCTTCTTCGCAGAGTCAAGGTGACCATCATCTTCATCATCTGCATCATGGTCTTCATTTTGGTTTATAACTACTGCCACTTCATCATCCTCTTCTTCATGGTCATGCTCAGGTTCTTCCAATTCTTGCTGTTCTTCTTCTGATTGCCTTGGTTCTTCTAATACCGGTGGCTTCTCCTCTACTTCTTCCTCCACCTCAGGCTCCTTAACATTGGCTGCTGGACTGCTGCTGCTGTCCACAGGAGAAACTGCTCTCACTTCACTACTAGTTGCATCTTCCTCTTCTCCCTCTCCCACCTCCTCTGTTCCAATATGCATGTCTTCCTCCTTCTTCTCCTCAGCGAGGGGCTGCTCTTCTTTCTTCTGAAGAGACTCTTCTTTCTCCTGCATTTTGGGTTTACGTCCTGGTTTTGAATTAGTTACCATGGCATCAACTCCCCCATCCTGAGCAGCTACTGGCACCCTTTCCCGATTCAGTTTAAACCCTGGCTTTCTACCAGGTCTTTTCTTCCAGTGGATAGGTTTGCGACTTTTGCCTTTGGGCCATCCCTTCTTCTTTTTCATGGGTGTGGAAGTATCTGCCTCAAATGGAGAAATCTTTGCTTCACACTTTCTGAGCACAGATATTGGCTTCAAGGTAGGGGTGCCTGGAAACACAAAACAAAAATATTGCTTAAACTTTTCGTAATTTTCATAATTACTTAAACATTTCCTCTTCTCTACCTTTAAGTGAACCCTTCCCTTCCCCCATTTCAAAGTCCCAAGCATGCTACCCCATTTATAAAGTCAATGTTTATGAACAATAAAACAGTACAAAGAATTCTTAACCCTTCCCCCCCATTTCAACATTTGCTCATTGATAACACATGAAATGAATCACATTTGCAAAAAACATTTCTTCAGAGTTTTGAGCCTTTAATATATAATCCAAATTCAGTGTCATACTGTACATTAGAAGAACTAAAACTAGAAGAACCATAACTTTGCAAGTACAATTAATGTAATGTGTTTTTAATAGAAAAATATTCCACTTGAGCAAGATATTTTCCACATCTATGAAAGTCCGTTGCAGGTATTTTTACATTTTCTTCTGTTCTTCAGTAGAGATCTAAAATCCAGAACTACTCCCTTTCCAGTTATTACTGAAATGGATCAAAATTAAGGTAATTATACAGATCCAGTAGCACACTAGAGGTCAACTACACACCTAATTTGGAACCAGAAGTCAGCAATCAGGCAACAAAGACCAAAAAAGCAAATACTGTACAGTACTGTGTTCAACATAACTACTAAGAAAAAACAAAGGGAAAGTTTTAGAAAGATTTGATGAGATAAGGAAACTATTTCTGTACTTGTTTCATTTAAATTAGGGTGATTCAAAGCTGCATTTTTTTCTGCACAGTAAAGTTTCAAAGTTATACTAAGTCAATTAAGTCAATATTGGGACCAGTTCTGTTCAATATCTTCATCTTTTTTTTACCGGACAGGAAGTAAAAATATCAGACTGTCGGGATCAATACCGGACACCTGGCAACGCTACTAGTGGGGGGGAGAGGGCAAAGGGCTCCTCCACCTCCAGATTAATCATGGTTTGGGAAGCCCAGAAGCATCCTGACACCGCCCTTTCCGGTTTTGGCCCCACCCCTTCAGGGCAGCCTGGGTCAAAAATTATTGCCCACCCCTGATCAAGGGCTTCCTTGAATTAATTCCTGTTTGAACTAGAGCATTTCCCTTACAAAAATAGCCAAACATCATTTATAATTTGAGTGATGAAGAATCCCACACAGCCCTTGATAAGTTGTACCAATGGTCACACATTTATAGCTTATTTTTAGTTTGAATGAGTCATGCGTCCAACTTCCAGCTACTGGATCAAATTACACCTTTCTCTGCTAGACTGTAGAGCCTCTATTCCTGTTCCCAAGCTGGTACTTACAATTGTGATCAGGTCACTCTGAACATTCTCTTTAGTAGCATAAACAAATTAGGTCTCAGTATAAAGCAGGTTTTCCCGATCCTTCATAATTCTTGTATAACTGATTGGCATATTTGGGGCTGGAAGGAATATTACAGGTCAAATGGCTGAAGATCTGGCAGGGGGAGGGGAGGGGGAGAGTTGACTACCTCTGCAGCATAGGGTAGGGGGTCACTTGAAGGTTTAAACTAGAGTAAATGGTAAATTTTCTGTAACTTGAAGTCTTTAAACTATGATTTAACAACTTCAGTAACTCAGACAGAAGTGAGGTGCTATGGCCTGCTATGTGCAGATCAGTGATGGCAATAATTTTTGATGGGGGGGGGGGGCACTCTAAGAATTTGGAAAGTGGTCACAGACTGCACTTTTGTACAGTATTAATGAAGGGGGGGCAGGGTCTGGGAGAGAGGTTGGGTGCAGAAGGGAGCTCAGGGTAGGGGACTGGATGTAGGTGAGGGTGTGGGGTCTGCGAAAGAGTTTGGGTGAAGGAGCAGGTTATGACCAGAGGCAGCAGATTGGGGTGCAGGAGGGATGCCGGGTCTGGGAGGCAGTTTGGATGCAGCAGAGGATTCTGATCTGCAGGAGGAGTGTTGGAGGGAGTGCAGGATCTGGGAGGGAGTTTGGATGGAGGAGGGGGTTGTGACCTGGGGCACAGAGTTGGAGTTCAGGAGGAGGTGTCAGGTGTGAGGTGCCAGGAGATGCTTACTGTAGGTAGCACCCAGGTTGGTGGCCCAACAGCACCCTTGGGCAGACTACCCAGGCCCCATATGCCATTCAAAATGGCCTGCTGCTGGAGCCAGGGGGCAGCGGGCCTCCATATGCTGTATGCACCCACAAGCAGTTTCCCTGCAGCTCCTATTAGTCAGTTTCCAGTTAATGAGAACTGTGAGGACTGTGCTGGGGGCAGGTGCAGCATGCAAAGGAAAACCTTCTCCTTCCAAGGAGCATACAGATACACACACATGCTGGCCGCAGCAGCTGGCCACTTTGAGGAGAATATGGGGGCCATGGCAGACAGCGAGCCTGCCTGAGGGTCCTGCTGAGCCATGACAGGCTGCTTCAAGCCTCCAGGCTGTATTTTGCCAACCACTGGACTAGATAATCATGATGGTCCTGTCTGACCTTAAAGTCTAGGAGTCTTGTGAACATCAGACCTGGACATCTGGGTATGTTTAATCAAAGTCAATGTCTACTTAAATCTAAACAGAAGAGCCTAGTAGCAACCACACTGAAACTAGAACTTACAGTTAGAAAAAGACTGAGCATTTTAATTCTATATGGGAAAAAGCTCACTCTGTTCCATCATGTAAATGACTGGATGCTATGGCATTGGATGTTTTAGAAATGCTAATAATTAAGAGAGCAGAATGCAGTGAAAGGATACATTTTGTCTCTCTAGAGTAATGGTGGGCAACTAGGGCTGCATGCAGGCTGCATCAGGGTAGTCTGATTGCTGACCATGAGACATTTTGCTGTTCTGTTCTCAGCCAATGGGAGCTGTTTGAAATGATGGACAGCATGTCTCTTCACAGAGAGCCACTAGAAGAGAGCTGTGGTGGGCGGTGCCTACAGATGGTCACCATTAGCAAAATGTCTCGTGGCCTGCAGTCAGATTACTCTGATGTACCACATGCGGCCCGCAGGTAGCCTGCCACTGCTCTAGAACATAGACTTGCTCACAGAACCCAAGATCCCTTCTAAATCCAGGCCTTGAAAGATGTACCACCTCTCCCCATTCAAGCTAGTGGTCCTGATGTGACCCAGATACAACTCCACCTGAGGCCCTAGGCCACATTTCAGACTTAAAATGATGTTTTGAGGAAGTTACAACACATTTGTGTTAGCCTAAAAGGAATTTATTCTGAAATCTGAGCCAAATCCCGCCCAGACAAAGCCTAAAAAAAATCCACTTATCTGTTGTGTCATCAGTTTCTGTAGAATCTAAGCTTTAATTTAAAAAAGTTTCTAGCCTATATGGTTGTGAAGAAAACTTTCTAAATGTAAACTGACTGTAAATACAAATGTTATTTCTCTGAGCCTGAAACCTTCTCCTATGCCTCTGTGCCTGCTCAGAGTGTTCCCAAACTGCAGCAGATTAAAAACTGATAAAAGTTTTTGATCAATCTTTAATTTCTTCTCCTGAAATGGTCAGCATTGAACTAGTTATAATGACATTAAATTGTTATTTTGTTAAATGAGAGAAATTCACATTATTCTTAAAACCTAATGCAATTTTCTGCTGGATCTGCAAAGACATCAGCATTGATAGAAACAGTACACAGTAAATGACTCCAGATGCAACAATTTCTGATATAGTGTACGCACTTTTGGGAACATATTACTTGAATGATATTGACAAATATGAGGCTGTTTGGAGAAAAGGAACAGAGTGACTAAGGGGCAAGCAGCATTAAGTCATATGGGAAGATTGAGAAAATTAAATATATGAAGCCTGATTAACAACAATTGGAATGACAGGAATTATAGTAAACACAGCCATAACTAAGAGACATGAGATAAAATTAAGTGAAGAAAAATGTAAGCCAATTAAGGAAACCTAGAAATGTGATGCATTAGTTTATATAATCGTTTTCCAAGAAAAGTACTGGAAGTCTTATTGCTTAAAAGGGACCAACTAGATCTTCTCTTCTCTAATTTCTATCAAAAAACAATGTTCAATCTGTAAAATTATTTCCCTAAAACATATGATGTGCAACATGATCAAGTTTTTTCAAATCTTAACTATTGCAAGTTATGACAATTTGTTATTGTAACTGTGCAATCCATGTTGCATTAACACTTTTTTTTGCATTTCATTTTAATGTAAGTAGGGATTAGCACCAGAGGAATACAGTGGTGATTGGTGCTATAGAAATAGCACAGATAAGATAAAACTACATCATTACATCTTTAGTGTTTAATCTAGGACTAATATACTTCCCTTCTACAACACTCCTGTAGTCCATTGGCCTCTGTTAAAATTATAAATATCTGAGGTTGATCTGACTGGAAATCTGTGCCTACTTAAGATATTTTGTTGGAAATTACATGGCAATGTAGTCAACCAGTTTCTGAGGGATACCGCTATTACTTACTGAACACCCTCAACCATATCGAGGGGCCAATTCACAGCTTGCTCATGAAACGTACCATTAGTGTCATCAGACTCCTCTTCATCTTTGGACTTCCTCTTAGAGGAGGGTCTGCGCCTAAGGGTATCTTGGGGGGCTAAGTGGCGAAAGTACCCCCGAGTGAACAGTTCACTCTCGTCCTCTTCCTCTTCCTCTTCTAGCTCAAAGGTAGGCTCCAACCGGGGCATTGGTCTTTCAGAATCAGAGTCCTCAAAAGGTTCATCCAACACCTCTGTGGTCTCAGAGATTGTTTCAGTGACAACACTACTATTGTGGTGCTTGCGCT